AGAGGTTGTGGAGTCTCCATGCTTGGAGATGCTCCAAATGAGATGTGGCCCTGCGAGACCTGCCCTGGCTGGCCCTGCGGACAAGATGGACGAGATGAGGCCCCTTCCAGCCTCAACAAAGCCGTGCTTTCGAGGAACAAACATCTCCAGTGAGCCGGAAATTTCACACTGCACGCCTGCTTTTATTCGACTAGATCTCTTACCCGCTCTAATGAACCTTTTGCCCGAGTCTGACCTTATCTGAGCTGTAACTGTAGTCCTCCTTGGGCTGCATGCAACAGGCAAAACTCTTGCAGGCACCAGGGAGAAGAGGAACTCCAACAGGATACAGGCACAAAGATGGCAATAATGTTCTCAGGCACTTGAGAAGACAGACTTGTTCCCTAAACCCTTCGCCAGCTTCCTTGCTCTTCTTTGGACGCTCTCCAGCGCCTCAACATCTTTCAGGTAGTGCGGGGCTCGAAACTGAACAGTGTTCGACGTGCGGCCTCACAGTGCCAAGTACACAGGAAGAATCACTTCCCCAGTCCTGCTGGCCACACTATTTCTGATACAAGCCAGGATGCTCGGGGCCTTCTTGGCCACCTGGGCACACTGACGGTTCATATTCAGCCACAAGTCGACCAGCAACCCCAGGTCCTTTTCCTTGAGTGGCCACCAACTGGATTTAACTCCATTCACCACAGCTCTTTGGGCCCAGCCTTCCAGGCAGGTTTTTACCCAGCAAAGCATACACCCATCTAAGCCCTGAGCAGCCAGCTTCTCCAAGAGAATGCTGTGGGAAACAATGTCAAAGGTTTTACTGACGTCCAGGTAAACAACATCCGCAGCCTCTCCCTCATCCACTAAGTGGGTCAATGCTACATGACAAAAATGGCACCTTGCAGTTGTTATGATCCAGTGATTCCCTGTGAGTGAATCAGATCCGTAGCAAGGCCAAATATATAATACAAATGAATAAATGCTTTGGAGAAATAGTTGCCTCTGAACCACACCTCTGAAATCAGGAAGAGAATTCAGGAACTTCTAGGTGACTAGAAAACTTAGCATGATTTTGGCACCAGAAGCAGAGGTGATGTAACAGGTAGCAGTTGAGAGTGGAGCAAGAACTGGACCCCAAGAAATACACAACTGAAGCAGGACTTGGCTATGAAATAGTTGTGAACCTATGCAGTAGAGTACTGCCCTGCAAAGATTCAAGCCCCTTCATTGGATAGGCAAGTTCTGACCTGAGGACAGACTGTCATTCAGCTACTCCACGAACACTTTTTCCTCCTATACATGTTAGGAAGCAAGTTGTTTGAAGAAGTGTCAATTGCTTAAAGGGGAAAAAAATTCTTACTATTCCTTCTGTACAAACACCATCTTCTTAAGGCTTCACACAGACAGTGGTAATAACCTGAGCTGCCAGAATTTTCACATGCACCTGTCCTTCCCTTCTTTTACAATGAGTCTGTCAAACACCAAATGTGAAATACTTTTTATGGTTTAGTAGAGCCAGATCAAGAAAAGATAGCTCTTTCAAAAGGGAAAGCTTAACAACTTCTGGCAAAGAGATTAACTCCTAAAACTTCAGACGGGACCCTTGAAGCAACTGGTTTCATTTGGCTTACTAGATTAAAACCAATCCCAGAGTTCCCTTAGTGTTTTTAGTGTTTTTTATTTCCATCAGACCTAAGGATTACCTTCCTGCCATAGACCCTTTTTCTTATCAGGGTACCCCAGCCTTCCCTCCGGCTCCCGCCTGCAGTTCAGAAGTTCACCAGCTAACGACACTCAGTAGTTCCTAGGAAAGATTTTATTTCCATCTCCTCCATGAGAAAAGGGAAAATGATACCAGAATATGAGGAAAACAGGAATATACCATGCTGGAGAGCTTACAATCAGATTAAACTAGCTATTTCAATAAGTAGATGGAATCTATATGCATTTAGAGATTGACACTCCAAAACTTAGTAGGGAGAATACAGTATGGGGTTCATACTTCAGGTATCTGTTCAATGTGCTGATGGTGACCACACAGGCTCCAAGAATACTATAGGCAGGCAACCCCTTCCTCTGTTGCTCATCTCTGTATTCTTCAGCTACGCAACATGGGATACTTAGAGCACTGAACCGGAAGCAATTTGGACACATTCCAGAACCCAACACAGATGGTAAAAGATTCTGTACCAAAAGTACTTCTCAGGCAGCTGCTCTATTAAACGTAGTATTAAACAGCACAGTAACTTACAGCATTACTTAGTTCCCTAATGGTTTCCCTTCCATGTTTAAGCACATAATGCACTGGCAATACAGAAGTCAAAAGGAAGAAGCTAGAGAGTCAGAGAGAAATTCAATTACTTAAGCCAATCCTTTTAATCACAGTGCTGAAAGACATCTGCGGCATAAGGACAGATGGAATTTTAGCTCGTAAAAGAAACGAGCTGGAAAACATTAATCCCACATACACAAGGTGACAAATACCTTTCTTTTAGGTGACATTACCCTTCTATAAATCATAAGCTCTTAATAAACTTTGTGCTTACCCAGAAAAGAGCTCTTCAAAAAACTGAACAATCAAGGTCTGTGCTCAAGACATCTACTAGAACCCCAAACTACTGAGCTCTATGAGAATTTTTAGGTTTCTTGTGGCAGAAATATAAGAATGCTGTTCCTAAATATAAAATCACATCAAAATTCACAAACCAAGTTATAAGTGAGTCACTTTAGGAAGCACGTTTTGCATTAATTTCTCCAGAAGTAATTATTTGGTTAAAAAAAATTGCGGTGTGTTCCAACTAGATAATTAATGTAATCCTTGTTCTCTAATATTCAGAAGTTAGCATTTTGTTTATAGCAGATAATTTAATTATTTAGTGAATTAGCCACTAGTCACTTTAACATTTCACTTCTAATAAAGGAAAATAACATAGTCTACGCAAAATTATAGTCAAATGATGATAAATTGATTTGTACAGAACGTTTTATATAAAAATGTGTATCACATCATCTACCTGAATCGATATCTGGGTCTTGCCCTTCTAGCAAACTCTCAAGTCTTCTACTAGTTAGTTCCAGAAGAGTTAAAGGAGTCTGAAAATACAATCCGACAAATTAAAAAAAATTACAAAACCAAAACTTTTGTATTTTGAGAATGTGAAGCTTTCAGATGATCAATTTAAAAATCACTGCAGATTTTTTTTTTTAAATCACTGCAAATTTAATGATTAACCGCAGAAGAATCTATACTTACATTTATTTAGGTACACATTCAAAATCTCTCACAAAATTGAACTAAACCACATACACATATGCTTATTCTTGATAGTTCCGGCCAAAGAAATAGGAAGCAATATGTTCTGCATGTTGTTTTCCACTGAACTACAGCAAAAACCGTAGTGTAGACCTTGAACTGATTTCAGCTTATATAATACAAAAGGCTCTCAACTGCAGCTGTGAAAGAGCGATCCACCGTGCACTCTGCTGTCACTGCTATGACGCAGTGGGCGCTTCATTTACCTGATCTGGCTCCATCTTCAATCCTGAATCAAAGCCCCAACCCTCATGCCAGATCTCTTAACAACAACAACAAAGTATTTGGGTTTGGCTGTATATTAACACACACGAAACTCACAGTAACTACTTGATACTTTCAAGCTAAACTGGAGCTAATTAAAAAAAAAAAAAAATCTCCCATGTTTCTTTAGCTGAGGTCAGAAGTGTAAACGAATGTGTTGTATAAGAACTAAAAATAATATTTTACTGAAACCAAATCAATGTTTCTGTGAGGCTTATTTGTAACTGAACAACAAATGTCTAGAGCATTTTACAACTATCTTACAACAGTTGAGATAATTCGTTCATCTCTAGTTTAGTAATTTAATGAGGAATTTAATAGTTGAGGAAAACAGTAGAGAAGCATCACAGCTTTAATGCACTGGCAGAATTCAGAAAGTCAATATAGAGTCTGGGAAGCTTGCATCTTTTCACATGTGACAACAGGATGGAACGTAAATAAAGGAGACCATAAAATACATCTGTATATTTTTATAACTGATCAAGTTAAATAGAAAGGCCATTTCATTTTATGGTTCTATTTTTTTTCTTTCATTTAGAAGTTAACACTTCAAAATACCAAAAGGAAATCTTAAGAGTTGTCAAAGCTGTACATGTACACTGAGGCACCAGAGCATGCCATCTTATACATCCGAGTATGTCGGTTGAATTCTAAAGGAGAAAGACACTAAGAAGCCTAAAAATTTAGTAGACAGCCATTAGAAACAAGGTGCCAAAAGGCCTCTATAAAAATTTCTTAATACCTTAATATTTTCTTCACACAAATGATGCAAATAAAGAGAAAGGATATTATATATAAAGGATTGCAAAACTCACAAAAAGCTGTCCTCCATAGTCTGAAAGAGCTTCTCACTCTACTTGACTGTACCATTAAACTGTTAACAGATGGAATATTAAACTCTGCTCCTCAGACCTCTCATCTTCAAAAAGGTACTTCATGGCATTTAACATTTAAAGTGACAAAGCCAACGAGGTAAGGAAAATGCTACCTTGAAGAGGTCGGAGTGATTGTCCATCAGAAACTGAGTCAGCAATTCTGCCTGTGGTTTTGACAAGGTCTTATTTTGTAAGATGAACTTTGTGCAAGTCTTGATGATCACTGATCTGTTATCAAACTTGAAAAAGAACAATTCAGATTTGCTATTAGATTTGCTTGCAATGTGTCGGCAAAGACAAAGTATAACAGGATGCTATCAGTGGGAAGAACATCTTGATATTTGTTTTAAAACAAATCACATTAAAAGGTAGTAAACAGAATACTTCTAACACTGGGGGGGAAGAAGAGTTAGCTGTATTATAGGAAAGTGTTATTTCCCACACTAAACATAACAGACACTTACTTGTTTTTGTAATTTGTAGCCCTCAGATTCTGCTGCAATGGCTATGAATGTCAGGAATCTATGTAGTTCTTCTCGAATATTTGGTGCTAATAATTTTAGATAAAGTTGTGATGCCTCCAGAGCTTGATCTGTTTTTCCTTTTTCTGCAATGGAGTAAAACAGTGTATCCAGTGCAACTGTTCACTTTCAGAGTCAAGAATATATATTTGAATTCCAATATTAATCCCATTTTTGGAGGTTTTTCCTTCCAAATAAAGCAGGTTATCTTACTGACTTCTAAAACCTTTTGACAAGACTCAATATTGCATTTAATCAATATAAGTCTAAAGCCTGTGTCCCATAGCTAGTTGGGAAACAGATGTACTTGGACAATATATACAGGACATTAATATGTTCTGTGTACAACATTCAAACATTGAAGTGATGTTTGCACTTTTTGTGTTTACACATCTTTGTATTATATTCTAGGATTCATCTCAATGTAATTAATGAGCTGGAACAATTCTAAGTTGCTCATTGCTTTGTGGTTTTGTTTGGAGGTTTTTTTGTTTGTCTGGTTTTGTTGGGGGTTTTTGTGGGTTTTTTGTTGTTGGTGGTGGTGGTTGGGTTTTTTTGGTTAGTTGGTGTCCTGCCTGCTTTCTAAGCCATTAGTTTATAAGTTTCTCAAGGAAATGTGTTAAGGTGGAAATAATCTCCTATAAAAACCCCTTTAGAGGATAAGTCTAGTTCTTCACTTTCAAAGTGAAGAACTATCAAAAAGCTAAGTAACTTTTTTAGGGCAAGAGTAAGATGAGGGCAGATACAGGAATATAACCTATGTACGATTCCTCTGTTCTATTACTGGGACAGAGGTTATATTTTACAAGAAATAATCCAGGACTTTCAGTGCTGTATCACAAGCCATTTGAAAACATCTTTGTTTAAAAAGAACACCAAAAAAGCAAGCAAGTGACCCCTTTCCAAAAGAAAGACAGACAATCAAGCGGGAAAGACTTGCCAAAGGACATGATCAAGGCAGGTAAAAGCATAGATAGGAAGACAGGAAGTCTAATCATTTCTAGAGAAAAGTTTAAGAGTTTCTCTCTGATCTGTGATTAAAGCTTTACTAAGTTACTTTAAAAAGACAAGAAGGGAAAAAAAAAAAAAAAAAAGAGTTCCAATGTAAAAAGGGTCAATAAATCATATGGACGAATTTGACCAACTGCATTCATTTAACATAAGTAAAAGTACTCTAGATGTGTTTATTTTAAAGGCAACAAGGTCAGCAAATGCTTGTCTTCACAACAGATCTGTGTTGTCAGCCATCTTAAACTGATTAACAGCTGAGGAAGAGAGTTGTAACTGTATATATGTTGATAAAAAAAATGAAGCCGTACTTCAGCTAACTGCAGCACTTCTTAAATTAGTTTTGAAAGTGTTTTAAATATGTAGATGTTCATAGCTAGTTTGAGCTATATCCTGCACTACAGTCAGAACAGCAGCACTTTTTCAAAGTAAGGCTAACTGCACTGGATTCTACTTGAAAATTATTATTAGAATGCAAGTTGTTATGCACTGATGACCGTAATCTATTCCATAGCACTGAGAGGGAAAAAACGTTGTAAAAAAAGTTAAGCACAATCTCCTAACAGTGATCTAGTATGAACTAGAACACAGTTGAGGACCCAGGAACATAAACTAATGCATTAAAACAGAGAATCATTTCCTAACAACAACATTATGGTTACCTCTTCGTCAAAAAGAAATAAAGCATTAGAAACTGCTTGTGAGGTATTCTTACTCAAGTTAGAAAGATGATAAAATTAAAGCAAGAAAAAGAAAGCAGAATAGCCCTGGACATTCACAGGTCTGGTAGTTTAGATCAAGCAGATACTTAATACAGAAAAGACCTACAGTCAACTAAGGCATTAGAGTAATTCTTACACTGTCACAGAATTATGATACTGTCTTTTTCCTTACCTAGAGGATTTGGCTGCTTTGATTCTCTAATCTAGTAATATTCAACTTATATATATCAACTTACACAAGTTTTGTATTTAAAGTGTGTATATGAACTATACCATCTTTAATTTAAGTGAACATTTAGCAGAAGTTACCAGTCAGTTATTTCAAATTAGCATTCTTCTTTTGTGGATGAGTTACGTAATTTTGCCATAATTTCCTTTTCATGACTTGTATTATAATTTTTTTTTCCTCCTTAGCAAAATACTACTGAAAAATATTGCCTTTTGTATTTTCCTGAGGTTTTGGCCACAGGATCCACCACTCTGCTCCAATTTTTACACATGCCAACTGTGCTCCTATGCCAGTAAGCTTGTCATAGCTCTCAAAACTGAAACTTTGTGTAACAGTCTATAAAATGTACAGAACTTAAGAAGTAACAGGGCCTGTTTAGGGTAGGGTTAATCTTAACCTTGTATTTAAATTAAATCCTTCTGCTTTACTTGTAAGCATTTGTGGGGAGGGGAGGGAAATCACAATCTCAACGGCCCTTTTTATCATTTTAAATAACTTCTGTTACTAAAAAAGCCCTAAGTTGAACTTAAAAAACCTCATTCTGGTTGAGAGGAAAGCTTCACAGCCATGATTTTCCTTTTATATTATTTATCCCAAGTAGCAATCAGGGAAATTCTGACTAGCAGTACGAAATTGTTACAATGTGAGTAGCTACATATTGAAACAGATTACCCACGGAGGCTGACGATTCTCTGTCCTTGCAGATTTTCAAAATGCGACAGGACCAGGCCCTGTGCAAATTGATCTAACTGAAATTTGTCTTTGCCTTGAGCAGGTGCTCTGCTTAGTAACTTTGAGCACTCCCTTCCAACCTATAAATTAAAGCCTATCTGCAACAGCATTGCAAATGGTGTTACAATTCAATCAATTAATGCTTAGTAAGTTCCATTCCTTACACAGCTTTCACTTGCATTTTTTTTGTTTCAGGTTGCTCTTACCTAGAAGCTCTACAATTCCTGAATGAATATCAAGATCCTGAGAGGCAAGAAGGGAGTCCTTCTTTTGACTATAATACTTTATTATAACATCAAAAAGAATCTTCTTGTAGGTATTCAGACTGCTCGGTTTGTTAGTACTTTGAGGTAACTGCTGACTAACCATCACTATGAATTGGTCTGGAAAATACTCCAAGCACTCAACTGCAGCAAAGAGCCATTTGTCAAGCCTGCAGAAGGAAAAGTTAGTTTTAGTGCTTACTTTAAAAACACTCTACCTATTCTTATTTAATCCTTTAAAGAAAATTAGATAGAAATAACTGTGCAGGTATAGTCACATATTTGAAACACAGCACTAAACTTGTTGCTTATTAAGCAATTTATGTAATTTTTTTCATTATAGTAGTTCAAGGACCTGCTCGAAATAAGCAACTTTCATGGTTTTCGTATGCTAGAGACAATACACCTGAGGAATGCCCAGATCAAAGCAAGCTGCCATCATGCCAGACTGTCACTGACCCTAGAACACTTGCCTGATGCAGCCAGCATTTAAAACCAAACACCATCCCCTTTTACTTCAACACACACAATGAAAACCCACCAGGGCTAACCAGAGTGAAAAAGCAAGGGACCGAATCTTCAGAGAAGAGACACAAGACAATTAGTTTGAAAACAGAGAAAAATAAAAACAGTTTAGATCCCAGAAGACTGTGGAAGCAGTTTATTGTATGACCTATGATAAAGGCACGAGTTTTTTTTAAGCACTTGTTGCCTGTATGACTGAACTAAGGGCAAGAAAATGTAAGGCGAGTCTAAAATTCAGGAAGACAATTCATTGTTCAAAGAGGCCAGAAAGTCAGAGGAAAAAGTCACTAACTTAACCATTTTGTTGAAAAGAAATATAAAAATCATAGAACTGTGAGGGACAGAGGAAGAATTACTTTTATCTGACTCTGGATATAAAATAATTTGAACTGAATCAAAACTTGTCAGAAGGGGTAAATATGTCCTGTAATCAAATGCTGCTTTATCCACCCTCTTTCCTAGAGCTAGCTAGACTGCTTTCTGAATGTTTAGCTTAAAGATGTTTCTCAGTTTATTTTTTCTTTAGGACTCTTCTGTTATGGATGATAAAGGCAGTGTGATCACACTGCTCATGGGATTGTAACTACAGGGAGGTCATAATCCCATTTCTACTTGACTGTATTACCCCATTTATGCATCCAAAGTTACACAATCCTTGTTGGCTGCAGCAGTCCTAGCAAAAGTTCATGTTTATCTAGCTGTCCAGCAACAAGTTCAAAAACCTTTGTTTCTGCTCTTCATTATATAAATAAGATTGTGTGGATCTTAAACATCTTTGTAAGTTAAACATTCAGAAATCAGTCCAGCTGGCTTTATAAAAGAGGGTGCATAAAGCAGGATTTGATTACAGTTTTTAAGTACCTACATGGAGAACAGGTATTTGATTATTTCAGGCATAACACAACAATATTTGAAAGCTAAAGACAGAAAATTTGAGATATAAATTATTCTCCCCCATACCCTGCTTCATGTTAGGGGCAATTAATCCTATAACAACTTGTAATACTGGTGGCTATTCTTCATACCTCCAATTTGCCATTCTCAGGCATGCTATAAGCCAGACCTAAATAACATACTGTCTTCGACTGGGGAGTTAAGATGCTATCCAGCAATAAACCTAGTTTGGAACCAGGAGTTTCATTAGCTTATGTAAAACTCTAAACATACGTAAAAATATTAATATTTTTCTCCCTAAACTAAGAATACATACAAACTGTAAGAGAAAGTCTCTTCAGGTACTCAGATTGACCTCAGTCTCAAAACCAGATAAAAATTGTATTGATTTCACAGAAAAAAAGCATCACTAAGACACACACACACGAGGATACATGCCTTGCTATATTCATGAGAAGTACATGCTAAGATAGAGATCAGTGCAAGCGCGATCAACAGGAACACTACAAGAATAAGAGAACATTTAAGGAAAAAAGCACTGGTAACATGCAGCCACTTCTATATCCTCACAATATAAGCATTCTCCAGTGCTACAGCTCAGTTTCTCCTTTCCTGTTGCTAACAATAGATGCCTTATTGACTTTGTATCTTCACAGTACCACCACTGGGAAGTGTGACAAACAAGTAAAAAGCCTCAGAATAAGTTTGTTCATTTTCTAGTATCTGTGATAGAGACCTGGGAGTGAAGTGCCTGGTCTAGAAACCAGGAGTGTTTTCAAACACTTGAGGTTAAAGTTTTAGTGTATACTTAAAGTCATTAAATGTCCAATCCTAAACATATACTTTCGGGGAATTGCCTTACTGCTTCTGAAAAGAAGTCAACAAAGGAGAGAACATTAATGTCACCCCTGTCTACAAGTGTAATGATGTCTGTTTTGTTCACTTAACACAAACCTTCGATCAAGATTAAAATAAAGCATTTATTAACAAAACCATTTTATAGATGTTTAACTTACTCAGGCAAGTTAAAGCTACATGTAACCTCTCTGTCCAGGAAAGTATTTGAGATAATCAGGTCTTCTTCTTTGCCACAACAGTCTGTTTTTCTCTTCACTGAAGACATCAAGATGTCTTCTAGAAGTGGAACATCAATTAACTGCAGAAGTCGTAGCAGAGTTTGCTGTTTCCAAACATCTTCTATTACTAATACCATAAACAAACAAACAAAAAAAACAGCCTCAGAAATAAGATCTTATGTACAACATCAATCTTTGTTTTCACTCACTCAAGAATGTTTTAAATCTTCAAAGACAACAAAGTACACAGCATAGTGTGAAGTTTCCATAGTGGGAAAGAAGGGATCAAAACATGATGGCTAAGAAAGAAGGCTTTAAAGAGAACATCTCTCTCTCCCATCATATTAAAATTAGTAATAACCTACTCTAATTAGTAATATGTACAGGAAAAGACAAGTGAATAGCAAAGGAAACATAGAATACAGATGTATTTAATCTTAAAAACCTATTTCCTCCTGAAATGGTATTTGCATAAATAGAATAGCATCATCCTGCAAAAACTTAATCCTGCTTTGTTTCTTTCAATTTACTTGCTACAAGCATTTACCCATTTAGCACTCATTTAGCTATTTTGTCATCTGTGACATGTTACATTTAAGACTCTGAGGGGCAGTGTTTAACAGAAACAAGGTATTCAACCCAAGTAGATACAGTGAAGAACAATCAAGTTTTAAAAAGAAAAATTCAATCCTCACCTCTTTTTGAAAGCAGATGAGTGGGTTCATTAACCATGATCTTTGGAGGTAAAGATGCGTGAATATTTATTGATTGAAGAAGCTCTTCTACCCTCTTTTTATCACCTGCTTCCAATGCTAAGGGGTTTGAAAGTATCATTTCACACTTCGTTCTGCTTAGGGGGGAAAAAAAAGTTAGCTGTGTAACAAATATGATCAGGACACATTTATATTTGTGACATTTTCTAAATTGCTGTTAAATCAGGACTTTAGGGCTTCATTGTATCTGGGGTTTATCCTGCTGCTAGAAAACCAGTCATCCATATCTGTGTTTTGGAAAGGGCAAGGACATTGATTCCAAATACTGTTGATGAGTTCCATTTCTTTTATCAGTTTTCATCAAGTAGCTCATTCATGCTAATTCTCAGATTTCAGCACAATTGATTGCAAAACAAAATGATTCTTAGGCTTATGTTACTGTGCCAGACTATTCTAAATAACAAAGGGCAGATCAAAGCAGTTTAGCGTTACCAAGAAATATTAGATAGCATCCGCAATTTAGGCATGATATTTCTCAAATCTGGCATGTAGTTTTGAAAAAGACTCCAATACCTGGGTTAGACAGACATAACTCATTAAGGAGTTAACTCACCTTAATTTATAAAAAAAAAAAAAAGAAATCAGAATAGTTCAGAGTAACTCACTTGGAATGTCTTTTTGTCTTTTGTTTGCAGATTTGCTCGGGAGACATGCTCTCATTTTCCTTATTCTTTCTTGGAAGAAGAGGAGTAAGATTGCTATTTACAAATTTATAGAGACTAGTGTTTGTGTCTTCAAACTCTGTTTCTTTCTCATTTTTGAATAAGTAAAGCTTTGCTCCAACTGGCTCAAACACATTGTGATCCATCAATGCTTGGCATACACGGACTCCCTTCAGCCGAGAAATATCATTGCAGCTTAGGTACATGCTTTGCATAAGATGGCTCAGTACCACATCAACAGCATTTGAGCCCGTGAAACAGTTTTTGTACGTTTTCAGATGTTGTCTACGTCTTTTGATTTCCACCTGACTGTGAAGAGCATGAATAATACTGTTCCACAGCTGAGTTGCTTGAAAAGGACCATCACAATCTGCAAGATATTTATATGAAAGCTTTACAGATGTTTATAAAGCTTTACTTTAACATTTGTAAAAATATTTTTACTCTGTGAAATTACTTTTATACATATATATATTTAAAAATTCTCCAGAAATCAGCTTAATTTTACGAAGATATTTTTTTTATACTTAATGAATCAGTCCTTGTTGTAAGTTGACTCATTCCCACTAGGGTAGAATCAACAGAAGAGAACAGACACTAAAAACAGGTGAGGAAGGTTTTTTGTGTTATTACCACACATACTATATGCATGTATCCATACACATTAATTCATTATAGAATCACAGAACGGCTGAGACTTGCAGGGACCTCTGGGGTCCCTCTGGTCCAACCTCCTGCTCACGCAGGGCCACCCAGAGCTGGTCGCCCAGGATCATGTCCCGACAGTTTTTGACTATCTCCAAAGGCGGAAAGTCAGCAACGTCTTCGGGCACCACCGAGAAGAGCCTGGCTCCGTCCTCTTCGCATCTTCCCTTCGGGTACTTATCGCCATTGATGAGAATCCCCTGAGCCTTCTCTTTCCCCGGCTGAGCAGTCCCAGCTCTCTCAGCCTCATCTAGGGCAGATGCTCCTCCAGTCCCCAGTTTCTGCTCCACGTATCGCTCTCGGCTCAGCGGGCAACAAGCCAGCGTTTGCGATGCACTAAGACTGCCAGCCCCCCGGCCTTTCGCTCCGAACACCCAGGCGCAGTCCCACGCCCAGCCCGAGCAGGCGGCGCCCCCTTAGCCACGACTTCTGGGGGCACGGCCGGAGG